AGTATCCACCGTAAATGGTTTCTCGTATACCACAGCAATGACATATTGTCATTACAACAACCCGAGCTGAAAAGAAAAGAGGATGCTTGTGAAATGATGGTTTATACATGGTTGTTGATGTTATTGTTTCCATGTGTAAACCGATGTAAATATGTGAGTGAATTTAAGAGGGTTTGTTTGATGGGATAAACAATTGGAACCAAAATACATTGTTATATATACATCCGTAAAGTTGATTCTTTGTGTCATGTGTGGAAACAAGTTAAAAGATTATTCCCGAAGAAATCTGAAAATGTGCTTTCTTTCCCAAACAAACAATTCAAAAATAAATGCTTTCTTCCAACAATAACAGAACAAATGGTATTACTTTCGAGGAGTGAGATGTCGAGACAAGGCTTGATTGATTGATGCCTAACACCAAAACCTGCAGTTTAACTACTTTGAATGATTCTTATTCGAAACCATAAACCCTTAGTGTTATTGTAAAAGTTGAGTATTTATAAATCTTTTATACTTTTTTGCATTTCTCATCCATACGCTTTTAGGAAACATTTTTACACAATATGATCCAAACACAGCACAAATTTAAAATCTAACGCAATTTGAGAAGCCAAGAGGAAGACTCCCATATATAGACATTAGACTTCAATCTGTAGCAAGATAACACAAAGCGGCGAATATAAACTTCATTAAGTATAGAGGATATTTTCAATCTCAACGCATTTGTTTAGCACACAAAGACTTAACATAGATTTCAAACATACCAATATCAGTACTTACAAAACATGAGATAAGAAATGAAATACTACAAACACTAATTCAGACATTTCAGATTTTTTTTTTTTATTTTTTTTTAACTTAAATAAGTTCAAGCGCTGGTGAATTTGGTCACCGCCTTGGTCCCTTCAGAAACAGCGTGTTTCGCCAACTCTCCAGGCAAGACTAATCTCACAGCAGTCTGAATCTCCCTTGAAGTAATCGTCGGCTTCTTGTTGTACCTCGCAAGCTTAGAAGACTCTCCAGCAAGTTTCTCGAAGATGTCGTTGATGAAACTGTTCATGATCCCCATTGCTTTGCTCGAGATTCCGATGTCGGGATGAACCTGCTTCAGCACCTTGAAGATGTAGATCTTGTATGTCTCTACGCTCTTCTTCGAACGCTTCTTCTTCTTGTCTCCAGCCACGGCGGGATCCTTCGGAAGCTTCTTCCCGGCCTTTGGTTTCTTCTCCGCCGGAGCTTTCTCGGCTTTTGATTTTTACTAGATGTAGCAAAGCACGAATCTGAGAAGGAATTTTAGTAAGTTAAATTGCTTTGGATTTTGCTTGTTGTCTACAAAAGCATGAGAGATTACTTTTTATATACATCGGAAGAAATGATATAATTGGATAAAATAGTTTGACGCGGATCAGTACGGTCTTTCCCGCCCCCGGCTTTCTACATCGGCCCATATATTATAATTAATGAGCCCAATTGTATGCCCATTTTGAATTAGTGAGATTGAGACGCAACCTTCTTAACCGGAACTTGATGTTAACCGAAGTCACTTAGACCACCCACAATGCGGGATGTTAACTGATTCTTAACACAAATACTTAGGCAAAACTAGGATAAGATCCGCGCCTTGCGCGGGATAAATCTATTATTTTTATTATGTTTTGAAAAATGAAACAATAGTTCGGTTCCATTTGGATTAGAGGTGTTCAATCCGGATATCGGGTTTCGGTTCGGCTCGACTTTTTGGTATTTCGATCATTAAAATATAATTACTATTCTAAATCTATATGTACTTCAGTTTTATTTGGTTTATATACCATCGATTTTCAGTTTATTCAATTTTATACCAAAAAACCTAATTATTTAGTTTGAGATCTATTATATATTATACAAATATATAATATGATCATATTTAGAGTCATATTGTCACAGAGTCATTTATTAAAAAATATTATATATTTAAATAAAAAAATAAAAAACAAAAAAACGCTTCTATCATCTAATAAAATGATCAAATCTAGAATTAATATCAAAACAATAAATTTTGAAAATAAAAATAAAAAACAAAACAGAAGAATGAAAGAAAAGTTATTATATTCTTCCATATTTAGTGTTAATCAAACCAATATGTCTTCGATTGAACACAACTCTGTTTGTTTAAAGATAAAAAAAAGTTGTAAAGAATTTCAACTAATTGTTGACCATCAATTTATAATCTTTACTTCAATTTAGTTATTGTTAAAAAAGCAAAAGATCAAAATAAGAAGTCTCATTTGTAATAAATTGTTAGCTATTTAAAAATTATAATTATAGTTCAACTCATGTAACAAATAGATATTCATACGTCGTTATAAATATATACATATTTACATGTTTCAGTTTAATCGGTTATAAATCAAACCATATCCAAATCCTATGGTTTTTATAAAATCACATCCATTCGGTTTGTATAGTATATACCAAAAATAACCATATTATCGATTGTTAATATCTTTTAAAAATATAAAATTAAAAAAAAAGAACTAAGATATTTAAATCATTGATAACAAAAAAATCCAATGTGAAAAATTTAATAAGTTTATAATTTATAAATGTTCTTGAAAATTTATTGAAAATTTTGAAATTAAAATATTTATGTAATCTTATATGGTATATAGTTTAATCTGTATATATATATTTGTTTTATTATTGAATTATACTTTTTACTTATATGGTTTTAAAATCATGTATATATTTTTATAATAAAAATGTTAAACTATTGATCATTAATTTTTAACATAGTAATTTTAATAGTTTAGTTATTTATTCTCGTTTTTTAAATTTAAAATATAACCTACACGCAAAAATCTAAAGTTTAATTTTATAGCTAATTTGATTGTTTAATTTATTTTAATAATATAAAATTAAAGAAAAATGATGGAGGATATATAAACTGTTATCAAATATTTATTATTAGAATCATTAAGTGTCATATATATATTAGTCATTTATGGTAATTCCGTAGGTTTTCTTTATGAAAAGAAAATAAAATAGTAATTATATATGGGGGAACAATCATTAAGTGTCATATATATATTAGTCAATTATGGTAATTCTGTAGGTTTTATTTATGGAAAGAAAATAAAATAGTAATTTTATCTAGGGGAACAATCATAAATGCTTCTATCATAAATCATATCATATCATCATATCATATAATTTGACCAACGAATGTAACTAGCGACATATAAAAATCGAATGTGGACCTACTTATTTTTCAATTGAATGTAATTGAATACCTAATTGAGTGACACCTAAGCATGAGGTCTTTTTAAATTATTACAAAATTGAGGTTACAATTTTTTAAATGTTTCTTCTTTAATATATAAGGGATAGATTAAAATAATATTATTATTTTTTAGTAAATTAAGAAAGGCTCCTTAAATAAAAAGATTAAGGATTTGATCCTTAATATGTGGTAACGTATTCAAGCCTCTCGTTCTCATCTCTATCATCCTCTTCTCTCCCAATATCTCTCTCTCTCTCTCGCCTTCGATACAGGGGCGGACTCACGCTTTGACGGGGTGTGGCACATGCCCCACGCTAATATAAAGTAGAGATAATTGGCTAAAGTGCCCTATTTGACACCTATAATTAGAAACTTGCTCATGATGTGACAATCACTTTACTTTGGACCATTTTGCCCTTCTCTACACTCTCTCTCCTCTCTTTGACATTTTTCCCCTTTTTTCTATTCAATCCCTAATTATTTTACAAATCAATATCATTCTATATACAATTAAATTTTAAATTTCATTATTTTTTCATAATTGGCTTTGAATCCTCAATTTTTTGACCTTTTTTCTCTCTAATTCCTAATTATTTTACAAATCTCTATCATTCTATATACAATTAAATTTTAAATTTCATTATTTTTTCATAAGTGGCTTTGAATCCTCAATTTTTTGATAATATCAATTTTCTGGGTTTTAGATTCGACGTCGTGTTAGCGGTTAACAAATATTGTAGACGTTAACAGAAAAGTTAGTTGTTAACAATTATTTTTACGCTTCGCGTTAATAAATGTGTTCGCTGTTAACAAATATTGTAAACGTTAACAGAAGTGTTAACTGTTAACAATTATTTTTACGCTTCGCGGTAATAAATGTGTTGGCTGTTAACAAATATTGTAGACGTTAACAGAAGTGTTATATGTTAACAAATGTTTTTACGCTTCGTGTTAATGAGAGGAAAGAGAAATGGCATTCTCGGTATTTCCTTGTCAAATGGTTGTGTCAGTGTCATTCATGTCCAATCAATGGTATTTTGCTAATTTGAGCTTTAAATATGGGTAGTTCACTGAATCACTCTATAAAGTATCTTATACACAAATAGGTATATTAATGTAGTCAGCTCATTTGGTTTTTAAGGACAATTACTGTCACATTTGGTTCGAACCTAGGTCTTCATTTTCTCTTTGTTTTTCAACTTTTTCCACACATTACTATATTTAGTCTCTTTTTCATGTTGTTAAAAAAGGAATCACTTTTTTCCTAAAGAAGTTTTTCTTTCTGATATCTAATAGAATTTCCCCCCTTCTATTAATAATAGTTTTACCTTTTATAAAATAAAAATTACTCTATTTTAGTTTTACTTATTTTGTCAACAATTTAGTTTTACTTTAACAACTATTTGTATTTTTCTTGTCAACACATTTATTTGTATTAAGCTTGTATTTTTCAATACTGAAATTAAATTAACAACTAAAATGAAAAAAAAACATAATTTTTTATGGTATAGAATTATGTTAATATTAATAAATAATATTTTAAATTATAAGAAAATATTAATTTTTGAGTTGATTTTAGTTTTTTAAAATTTAAATTAACGTTGTTTCAAAATTGTAACATAATATAACAAAAATTACTATACTATAATTTTAAAAATAATTTTAATTTACTAAATTATAATTCTATTTTTAGTAAATATAATAAAAAAATTAACTACGTATTCATATATTATGCCCCATGTTGAATGAGTTTCTGGATCCGCCCCTGCTTCGATATGGAGTTACGGTAGATCCTTTTTTGGTCGAAGCTCTGCAGAACCCTCGCCATCGTCTCACGAGTAAGCTTCCTTCTCTGATTCATCTCACAAAACCTAATTTGATCATAAGAAAGTTTGGATTTTATTGCTTAAATCCATGTAATAGTAAAGACTTGTACTTTGTTGTAACATTTTTCTCTGTTCCGCAATAACTAGAAAGAATCTATAGAATCGGACGGTGCTCAATTTTATTTTTCTATTATTTTGGGTTTGTTCTGAAGATGCAACTTTTTAATAGCTGTTGTGGAAAAGGATCTGAGGGCTACGTCTTTGATTCATTGACTATATAATTGTTAATTCTCCTCTTTCGATTTTGAATTTTTCTTTGTTGGTTTACTGGTAAAACATATTCTTGGTTCAGTCAGCTTTGGTGTTCCTTCGTTGATTAGGAGTTTTCTTGCTGTTGCGAATTCGAATTCTTTGGGGAACTTCACGCAGCCACAAACAGTTTCAAGAGGTACCAAGTCAAGTTCAGGAGAAGGAGAGGTATTGATTCTTCATTTGTTTTTTGTTGGTTTTGTCTGTTTGGTCTTTTTGGTTCTGAATTGTTTCTTCTGCTTAGGCTCATGAGTTGCCTCAGTATGGACTCACTGTTGGTCTTACCAACTACGCTGCAGGTATTATTAAATCTGTCCTATGTTTTGTGATTTTTAGCTAGCTGATTCTGTGTCTATCGTTTCTTAAAGACTGTTTTTTTGTCCAATCAGCTTACTGCATTGGGCTTCTTTTAAGTGATTCTGTGTGGGTGTGCGGGGTTGAGGTCTGTGTTTATAGGTCAGCAGGTTCATGGCTAAAAGCTTTTTCAGTACGTGGAGATGAAGATGAAGTGATGTGGAGCTCCATGATTTCTGCTGATGGGTTTCATGGACAAGGGGAAGAGGCTATCAAGCTGTTTAATACCATGGTGGAGGAGACAGAAATGGAGATAAACGAGGTCATGTTTCTGAACTTGCTTTATGCCTGTAGCCATTCTGGTTTAAAATAAGGTCTATGCCAATGAAACCAGACACTGTTATATGGAAAACATTGTTATCTGTATGTATCATACACAAAACCCAAATCCCAAACATTGTTATCCCTCTCCGTATGTAGTAGAACAAATATGTCCATATCCTTTATTTTTCTAAGTTTTAAATTTTTTTTTTTATTCTTAAGGACTCTTAAGTAGAAAACACCATTGGACATACAATTTATACTAGAATCCTTAACTATTAAAAAAAATTTAATGGCTAAGGACTCCAATGGAAGTAACACCATTGGAGTTGCTCTTACTCTGCTGTTATCAACGGATTAAGCAATGCCTGGTTTGTAAATGAAGCTGAGATTCTATGTGCAAAAATGAGGCCTGGAAATTCAGTTCCTAACCAAGTAAACATACGGTTGTTTTCTAGGAATTCTCACCAATGGAGAAGGTTGGTGACATGCAGAAAGCTGTGGACCTCCATGATGCAATATTGAAAGGGGTTTTTTAGCTAACACTGCTATATACAATAAGTTGGTTCGCGGGTTTTGTAGAGAAGGGAGAATGAATGAAGCCTATAAGAGTTTGATTGTCTACTTTCTTGTATATGTAAATATATGCCTTGTTATATAATAATAGTCAGCTTCTTTCGCTAGAAAACGCATTGACTGACTATGTCCGTGAGCTCCAGTCCGGTGTGATAATAAGTTAAATTTTTCGTAGACTCGAAAGATTTCTTAAGTGATTTAGATTCACTCACATGGTATTGCATATATCACCCATCTTTCTACTCCATTTCAAACACACATAATTCTATAATTCTTTGTGGATGTGTCATCAAAATATAAATGCACTTTAGTAATATAAGTAAATAATAAATTATTTTAAGCCTTTCAACATATATTACAAAGCATGATGTTACAATAAGCATTGTCCAGATAAATAAAAAAAGCAAATGAAATAATACAATCAGAAAAGAACCACTCATCATGAAACATAAGTTCAGATTCACACAGTTAACCCATATAGCTCGATAAACAATAACGGGAACAGATGTATCCATTATCTTCATCATACGCCCTTAGGACGATGGAGACCTTGCATCTAGTGTGACATTGGCTGCATAATGGCCGAGTATTGTTATTATTACGAACCACCTCAAATGCTTTCCAAAGATATACAATGAGCTTTTCTGGCTTGAGACGTGAAAAGTCTCCTAGTACACATCGTGTATGAAATGTAACTTGGCAATCAGAACATGTATAGAACCATTTACATTTATCTAGTTCGCTCTCACAAATGTCGCACCAACTTTTTATGCTCTCCTTCACACCGTGATATAAAGTGATAGGGTGATCATCATTCATGTGCCATATCTTTAAAGGCAAACTAGCACAATAGCAGCATAGATCAAAGTTACAAGCATCACAATGGAGAATATAGCCTTTTATAAAGTTCTCACATACATTGCAATTGGAATACTCTGATCTCTCATAAAAATATAGCGGATGTGAATGGCCATCATAGACGAACGGCTCAGAGAGAGAACCACAATGTACATCTATTTTCCATGTACCTTGCACTCTGTACTTGAAACCATCAAATAATTCTCCACATTGCATGCAGCTTTCAACGGTTATATAAACAACTTCCAACGAGCATTGTAAAGGCTGAAAGATAATTCTTTTCTTCATAGGAAGATTAGCACACTTTTCATGAAGAACAAAACCACATTCCTGACAACCATAGATGGACTCAAATCCAATTGGATGAAGACATGCTTCACATTGTAACCACTTATCGTAAAGTATATAGTATATGTACAGCTTTAAAGGATGTTCTATATGACTAAAATGAATTATCAAGTCATCATCCACCACCTTGAATGGTGCAATATATTCGGTATCGTGATTTGGGATACCTTCCAAATCTACAAGATCCCATACACCATCTCTTACTGCACATCTAAAATGAGCTGCATATTTTGGACAAACAGAGCAATAGTAAGCTCCATGGTACTGACTCAAACTCTTGCGACAAATTCCACATTCCGAGTATCGAGCACCGAGATGAGGAGTGAAAGAAATGCAATGATCATGGCGATTGATGTTGATAATATGGGGTAAGTCAATACATTCTCCATGGGAAAGAAAAGCACACTGAGAACATACATAAGGCCCCCCTTTACCGTCTTCCCCACAAACATCACAAGTAAATGGCATTTTTTTGGAAAAGAGAGTAAGTGGATGTATGTGGGTCTTGGTTTTCTCAATAACAAGGGGAGGTGGATTCCTAGTACAAACAAGGCATATGCTGAAGTTGCAAATGGAACAATGATAAATCACTTTTTTTTGTTGTTTTTTACACGAAAAACAAATCTTTTGGGCATCATCAATAAGATTTTTAGTTGCATTGAGTTTGATAGGATGTTTAGAATGACAAGGATGATTTACCTCTCCTGAGAGATAGACACAATCATGGTGGAAGTTTAGATTGCACTCATAACATAAATATGATGGTCCCCAGATATCCTCACTGCATGCCTCACAAGGTATGTCTTTTCGTGACTTGAAGAAAGCAAGTGGATGGTCATGACATAGGGGATGTTCGATTGCAGATGGTAATAGTTTCATCCCACAAATTAAATCCACCTTGAATAGACATGTGGAACAACTATAAAATGGAGGAAAATTATAGCTTTCACACAAATTACATAGACCATCTTGCGCTTTGCTTGTGAGCTGGAGAGGATGTTGGGGGTGAGAAGGGTGGTTGATTTCCAATGGGGCTTCGGCGCACTTCTTATGGAAGAACCAATAAGGACACTTAAGCTCATTGCAATAGTAGCCACCGTAGATGGTTTCTTTTTCATGGCAGCCTCCACAATATGTGTTAACAAACCTAGCTGAAGGGAAAAGAGGATGGTCGTGAAAGGATGGTTTATACACTGTTGTTGATGTTATTGTATCCATCTGTTGATCGATGTATGTGAGTGAGTTTAGGAGGCTTGTTTGATTGGATACATAATTGGAACGGGAAGACGTTATTATATATTCCTTGTGGGCCATCACCTATATTGGAGGGAACAAAGTATGCTTTGTCTTTTCAAAGAAACAAAGAATCAGAACTTTGCTGTTTCATCAATATAACGTATCGTATTATCGTGTCTTGATGAAAAGATTTTATTATTTTTGTCATGGCTGAAAGTTTATATTATTCCCGAATAAATCAGAAAATGTGATTTCTTTTTTTTTCAGCTAAACAAACAAATGTTTTTGAAAATGTGCTTTCTTTCACAAACAAACAAAACAAATATTGTTTTCTTCTTTTCTCAAAAAAAAAAAAAATGTTTTCTTCCAACAACAAGAAAACAAATGCTTTTCTTTCAGATTCGGGTTCTCTCTTTTTGAGCTTACCCCTTGAACAATTTTCTTGAGGGTGTTACTTTGTGGAGAAGAAAATGTTTGTAACTAGAAGTTTATTTGTTGATGTCTCCATGGTTGACAGGTCTCTGTTTGCAAAAAATGTGTTTGATTTTTTTCATCTTATTTATATAGTGAAATAATATTTATATACTCTTAAATTAACATAATCAGATAAACACAATTTATTTATTAGAGATAAAACAAAAAATATATAATGGCGTAATCTGTGTAAAAAACCTAGAACGACGAGTACTTATTAGATTTATTCCTAGTTTCTAGATAGTAGATTCTATTGGATTGAATTTGGATTTGATGACAATACTTTAACTTGGCCGATAATCATCTCTCCAGTAAAAGAATACGAATAAGATTACTTTCGGGTAGACACACAAAGTATAAGATAAGATTATCCCGAAGAAATCTGAAAATATGTTTTATTTCACAAACAACACAAAATGCTTTCTTTCATCAGTAAAATAAATTGCTTTTCTTTCAGATTTGGTTCTCTAAGTAAAATGTTTATACTTCTAGAAAAAAAAAGGCCTGACCCTCAGACCCACTAATTTCAGTAGCTCATGGGCTATAAGAAACAGATTGTATACACAGAGTTTGATGGCTCGTATTTTCACAAGATAAGCAAATAAAATTCATATTATTAAAAAGGCCCAATTTTATATATTTGTCATAACATATATACTGTAGAAACTTTATAAATTAATATCCGATAGATAAATAAACATAATAAATTAATAAATTTCTCCAGTTCCAAATTGGATGGATATAAAATATGACATACAGTAATTCAATAAAATAATAAGATAATAAAATTTTGAAAACTTCTAGATAAATATATGGTCTCATTAAAATCATAAATTAATAAGTAACAAATATGTAATTTTATATAAACATATACATAAACAATTGTTTAACTTTATTCAAAATAAAAAGTATCTCTAATTTTGTTCTTAAGTTTATTAAACTATATATAAAATAAAGGGATATGTATTCTATGATATGTAATCATCATACATAAAATACATCAATAATCAAATAAAAATAGTTAAAATTTATATATGTGAACTTTAACCAGTATATATTATCATAAATGAAGTATTATTTTCAGTTTTGCACTAATTTTTTTTAAATATATAAATCTAAAAAGTAATTCTCTTTAAATTAGTAAAATTTTGAAATCCTAACATTATTAAATTGAGCTCTTACTGACTGTTAATTTAAATAGACTTCTAAAGTAAGATTAATTGTTTATAAGTGGATAGGTTTATCTATTTTATATTTTTATTTTAAATCTAAGTATGAGACTTTTGTTTCTAATACGTTCTCTCGCGATGATAGTTCTTTGAGAAATTCTCTTGGATAATTATTTTTCGTTTATTTTCACAAAAATAACTCTCAAAGAGGAAAATGACCAAAAAAATTTTTTATTAAAAGGTAATTATATACATATACCATTGGATTAACTAATATAAACTTAGGGTTTAGAGTTTAGGGGTAGTTTTGGGTTTAAGATTTCAAATTTTTTTAAAAAATATATTAATGCAATCAAGTGTATATTCTTGAATTAACTTCTTTACACTCCCCCAAACAATCTAAACCCACAGTCAATCCCCCCCCCCCTCAACTTTCAATCTCTTTACTAAACTCCCTAGACTTAACTAATTCATCAATTATCCCCTAAACTTTATTTTCCTAAACAATTCCACAAATTCTATAATTTCCTCTTAACTTCGGTTAGTTATGTAAAAAGAGTGTAGGCAGATTAGGGCTGGGACTTATAATCCGGGATCCGGATTTGATCCGAGATCCGCTCCGAAAATAGGATATCTGGAGCGTCCGGATCCGAATCCGGATAGTAAAATCTCGGATCCGTGCAAATCGAATCCGGATCCGGATATCAAAATTTTATGTCCGGATATCCGGATCCGGATCCGTGTTTCTAAATATATTAATTTTTAGTTTTATTAACAATTATATTTGATATATTAACATTTATACATAAAAATTAGTCTTATAATATTATATCTTAAGTTTAATAATATTATATTAATGATATTATATATCATAAATATATTTATAAACTGTGTATTAATATTTAATTTAGGTATTATTTTAGAATTTTTGTATTTTTAAAATATTTTTTTATTTTTTTATTATTATTTTTACGGATCCGAATTCGAATCTGGATATCCGCGGATATTACAATTTATAGACGGATATCCGAACCTCGGATATCCGGAAGACACAAATCCGAATACAGATACTAAAATCACGGATACTCTAAAATTTCTGGATATCCAGATCTGTGCCAAAGGCATATCACATTTCACAACCTACCCCCACTCTACCCAACCATAAGAACCAAGTAATATTAAAATAAAAAAAGGGGTTAACATGAGTTAGGGTTCACGTAAAATTAAGAGAAAATGGTAAAGAGTGAATTATCAACCCAATTAACAATAGCTGGAAAATCTCAGAGAGATAAAAATCAAGCCTTCTTGTTTACGAAACACTCCACAGTCTGCGTGAGTCTTCAACAGGTTAGTTTTTAAATCTTCTCTTCATCTTAATGTTGTAGGAGGTGCGATAGTCTCGTACTTGTTTAGTGTGTGTGTGTGTATGTAATAGACAACATCAGCCAGAATAAGAGAAGAATGTTTTTTCAGCCTTAACCTCAGCTCAGCGGCGTGATGCCGTGATGGCACTTAATGATGGAAAGAGGCGTGAGGCTTGATAGAGCACCATGATACACGGTTGTTGCATGTCGAGAGAGATGGAGAAAGCGATTAAGGTGATGATTGTTTAAATGGTTTTTAGATTTTGGTTTTTGGTTTTCGGCTTTTACTTTCTAATTTTTAGATTTTGGTTTTTCATTATTAGTTTTTGATTTTGAAGTAGATTTTAGATTTTTGAAAAACACGATTGGTGATTTAGATTTTAGTTTTTGGTTTTATATATAGATCGAAAGGATTGACATAATTGGATAAAATAGTTTGACGCAGATCAGTAAGGCGTACCATTAGATCTTCTTTTAAATAGAAAGATAATCGACGGTCAATATCGAAAGCTCTCACAACTTGGTGGTGGGGATTGTTGACGTGTCGAGTTTGGCGCATTTTATGTATGTCGTGAAATTTGTCTTTCCCGCCCCCGGCTTTCTACGTCGGCCCATATATTATAATTAATGAGCTCAATTGTATGCGCATTTTTGAATTAGTGAGATTGAGACGCAACCTTCTTAACCAGGACTTGATGATAAACGAGGGTAGGTATGTCAAGTGTGGGTTTAGACCGCGGGTCGGGCCCGTTAAGGCTTGCTGCGGGATGGGTTTGGGCCAGGAATTTGTGAGCCCACAAAATAGCGGGCCTAGCGGGATGGACTGTTGCGGGTTGGGTTCAATTGCGGGATGGTCCACAAAACCCGCGGGTTAACCTAAAATCCTGCATGCCTTCTTCATTTCCTCCGCCACCAACCTGAAACAAAACAAAGTAGAGTGAGAGAGAGAGAGAGAGAGCAATAGCGAACAGAGAGAGCATCTTCTTCTCCCGATGTTCTTCAGGTGTTCTGGTGACGGCGGATCTCGCAAGGACTCCACCGGATGGCGGAGGGTCATCTTCTTCTCCCGAAACTGTGACAAGAATCAAGAAAGACTCTTTCTTGATTGTTGAAACGTTTTTCACCGTAGAAGATGACCTTCCGTCATCCGGTGGGATCTTGAGCGACGGATCTTGACAGATCTGGTTTTCTCTTTATGCATGCGACGGCGACGGTGGCTCGGTGAATATCCCAGCCGGTGGTGGTGGTTCGGCTTCTGAGATCTTAGTAGATCTAAAGCTAAAGCCAATTCACCACCACCAGTGACTACTCGGCTCGCCGGCGACATGGGGCATCATCTGAAGGTATTTTTCTCTTTGTATGTTCCTGCATGTAACATGTTCTTTGTATTAATTTGGTGTCTAACTTTTTTTGTCCATGCATGTTCTTCAATCGGAGCTTCCGGATGGTGGAGGGTCATCTTCTTCGCCGGTTAGGAGTCCCTGCATGTTACAGCCGGTGAGGAGTCCTTCCATGTTAATATTATAAATTAATTTGGTGTAGAACATGTTAATGTAACATGTTCTTTGTATTAATTTGGTGTTTAACTTTTTTTGTACTTGTATGTTCTTCAATCGGAGCTTCCGGATGGTGGAGGGTCATCTTCTTCGCCTGTGAGGAGTCCATGCATGTTACCGCCGGTGAGGAGTCCTTGCATGTTAAAGCTTAGTAATTTTATATATTTAATTAATATTATAGATTAATTTATAAAGTTTTAATAAATTTAGATAATCAATTAATATTATAATTTTTTGAAAAAAAAATTAATATTATAAAAATTTATAAAAGTTTAATAATTTAATATAATTAATTAATATTATAGATTAGTTTATAGGTTCAATAATTTTATATAATTAATTAATATTATATATTAATTTATATAGGTTTAATAATTTAGATAATCAATTAATATTATAATTGGTTTGAACAAAAAAAATTAAAATTTAAATTTAAATTATGAAGGTTTAATAATTTTATATTATTAATTAATATTATAGATTAGTTTATAGGTTTAATACGTTTAGATAACTAA